TATATATATATAATGTTTCTTTTCATTCCAGAAACCCAAATATCACATTCAGTGGAAAGTTATTGAAGCGATCCATGGAAACAACTATGTGTACATTGACACATCACAGCTCCCGTACAACCACCAGTGGGAGTTCCCGAGAAACAACTTGCGTTTTGGTGAGCTTGCTACACTTTTTCATTGGAATCCGTTACAGCAGGTGTTTTGGAACAGTTAACCTTTATTTCAATCAATCTATCATCCCAGATACAACGTGACCTTTACATCCTGGTGCTGTGTGTTCTTGTCATGTCGTTAGCATTAATCAAAGTAGTGAAAATATGAAGAGATAAGGGTCTCTGACTTCAATAGATAATAAGAAAGAAAACTAACAAAGTTATGTCATGTTGTATCTACCAGCCTCTAGGTGCCTCGTGATGATTGTCTGTTTTCTGTGTATATTTAAGCATTAATGTTTTATCCATGTCGTTGTTACTGACTAACCCGTTCAACAGCTCATTGACGATTCAACCACACTCCTCCAATGCAAACATAACATTGTTGACACATTCTGTCTGTCATTTTCAACAGCCACCATCAAACAGGATGCTACATGTCCTGGTGACTGCAGCCCAGGGGCTTAAATCGTTGATACACTAGAGTGGGGCCTGTGCATGGTGGTGGGGGAAGGAGGAGGAGGATAATACTTTTCTTTCAAACTTTTATTCTTGTTAACAGGAAAGACACTGGGATCTGGTGCATTTGGAAAAGTGGTGGAAGCCACAGCTTACGGACTCCCTGAGGCAGATTCAGTCATGACAGTGGCTGTGAAGATGCTCAAATGTAAGCTCTGACAGCACTCATGCAAATACAGCCCAACAGTTGCAGTGTTCACACTAGCTCTACATGTTAAAGTATTTTAATAAATATGTTACTGCAGGTGTTAAGAAACAGGCTGCTGTTATTTAGATATTTTAGTTTGATAATTTCCACATTTCTGCTAAATAGTTCATTTAACTAGCACCTGTCATTCTACTCAGCCTGCAGCAAGTACAGTTTTTTTTAAATCAGAAAAAAATATATGCTGTATTTATTCAAGTATAATATGTAAAATTTAATCCATAAAATCATGCACAAAGTTGGTGGGTAGTACAATACTCAGATAAATATTTTTGCTGATGTATTTTAACTGAAATATCYGCCTCATTCACAAAATCCCTGAGTCCGGAAATGATACTGTAAAAAGCAGTTGAAGCGATCATACCTCTAACACTCCTTTGTGCCTCCGAGCGAGATAGTAACAGATCCAAGCAGGCAACATGATGTAAGAAAATTGAAAAAAAGAAAAAAATGCAGTCCTGCATAACGAAATAATGATATTAATGTGCGACCGGGCCGCTCCTGGGACAACAACAAATGCATGGTCGTCTGTAATGGCTGCCGTCTACCGGTGTTCTGTAAAAATTGGTCTACCTGAAAAAAGTTTCCCCACCAGAGGGGGCGCTTGGGACACACAGAGGATGAGATTGTTGTTGAGTGGGATTCTGATGCCTTTTATTACAGAGGAGGAATACCAGAAACTTTTAGTGATACAGATGAMGGTGAGCCTGATTTTGAAGGCTTTGATTCAGCTTCATTCATTAGATCAAATCTGACGTCTTCTGTTTCAAATATCTATCTTCATGCCATTATACTCTCAACCATGTCGTACTGTTTACCTGTTTGGTCTCTTACAACAAATGAAATCTTAGAACCCATAGTTAGGCTCTACAACAGGGCCTACAAAATTCACGTTATAAATTCACCTTGACGTTAAGGTGTCTTTGTCTTGTAAATGTTCTAAATATTCTAATCCTACACCAAACTAAAGTTTTCCTTTAGTTTTTCTTAAATAAAAATGTCTCAAGGTCTTCATACACTTCAGCCGAACAGTCGACGCGCGGTCACGTGGTTGTTATGGAAAATGGACTGTACTTATATAGCACTTTTCTTTCCATCCAGGACACTCAAAGCACTTCACACTACAATCTG